AAAAAAAAAAAAAAAAAAAATTAAGAAACCAAAATAAATTAAATTAAGGTAAGGTAAGACAAAGTTAAAAAAAGAGTAATAAACTAAAAATTTTTTCTCCAAATAATTATTCAAAAAATTAGCAATTTTTTGACTTCAAAAACTGTTACAGTTTTTAACGATTGTTGCCAATACGGAACGTTGAGTGGTAGGATTTCCTTCGGACAGTCTACGTACTACTTTTGTTGCTGCATCTTCGCAAGTGAGTGATTTTTTTTTGCTTAAATCTTCTGATGTACCCACCAAACTGTTCTGCAAATTAGTTCCAATAAATTCATATTCTACGTTTAGTATTTATCTTCAATATCAAAAAAATGGTAATAATATTAATAGTAATACACTTAGCGTTAACAGTGAAATGTGCATCGCAACAGTGAAATATCAACTGAAAAAGCAGTTAATAAAAATAACTAAAAACTCAATAATTTGAGGCCAGAAAAAAATGTAATCGATGACTTATAGTATCAAAAAGAATGTAACAATAAAATATAAGTTAAATTTGGAATTATGAATTTGAAATTTATGGTAATTTTTTTTTTTAAAACTAATTTTGTGCCTGTCACAAAGTGTACTGCTTAACCCTCTCCATGAATAAAGTTAACTAAATGCCAATCTTTTTAAATGTTTAAAATGAGATTATTCTGACAAAAACAACAAAAAAAAAAGGTTAATCATTATCCAAAAAACAAGAGCAACAAAAAAAATGTACTAAATTTCTTGTTGCAAATTTTAAATGAAGTTCTTTAGTCGATGCTACTAAAATTTACCACTGACAAGTGTCAATGAAAATGTCAAGAATAACGCATGTAAAAGTGATGATTTTTACATCAGTGTTTAAGAGTTTGCAAAGAAAAAGAAACATGTCAATATTAAAGCCATAATTTAAACTTCTATCTATATCTGGCTATACAACTGTTAACCGAGAAATTGAAAAAGTTCAAAAAAAAAAAAAAAAACTATAACAACCAAAAAGACTTTTGTTGAAGAAGAACAAAAAAGAGGAAGCATTTTAGAAGGATTCTTACACAATATGTGGTCAGCGATGTTGTCGATGCCATTTTTGAGCAAACCACCGTCGACAGCGTAAAGTCTTTGTTGCTTTTCAACGGTATATCAAATTTATGTGAACAATAAAAGCATAATGCCACTACAATAATTGCCAATACAAAAATACTGATTGCCAACACTGCTGATGGTGTATTTTCACGAAAATTTAATGTACCATTTTTGTACTGATTGATTCGATCTGGCATAAATGTATTTGATGTTGCTGATCGAGGCTGCAACAACGAATAGAATAGCCAAAAAAAAAAAAAAAAATGACATATGCATTTAATATGTTAAAAAAAACTTCCAGCAATACGCTACATAGAAAGTTACATTAAAACTTCCTCTTTTTTTTCATGTTAAAAGTCTTTCTTCCCTTTAAAGTCAACAAAAGTAACAAATATCAAAACTTTTTTAAATGACAAAAAACAAAACACAAACGAAAAATTTTTCAGTGATAAAAGTATAAAGCCAACTGTGTTTTTCAGTTCTTCTTCTTTCTTACCAATTTTCAGTTCTTTTACTTGTCAAATTTTAAATATTTGTAAAAGACTCGTCAGTAATTAAAAAAATTTATTATTTTTTTTATCAAATCAATTTCCAATAAAACCGCCTCATTGTTCTTTCCCCTTTCGATACCTTGTGTCCGCAATATTTCTTCCTCTTCAACAATCACCTAAATCAGCTCTATTCTCGAAACCCTACAGCAGTGCAATTAGCATTATGTTTAGACAACTTAATCAATTAATTGTTCAACGAGACTTAATGTTTTTTTCACTCTAAAAATAACGAGAGAAACCTCAAAAAAAAAAAAACAACCTGAAATTTAATTTCAAGTAATTCTATTAAGCTTTTTGATAACTGAAATTGCAACAAATGCGAACAAATAACATTAAACAATTTATTAGACATCAGTAGCAAAAAAAAAAGAACGGCAATAAAAATGTCATAAAATAAAAATAGCTTTAAAGAAACACTTTACTTCAAAACGGTTTTATTTTTAGCCGCTGTTTTAAGTAATAAATACCAGCAAAAAACTCTAATTATTTGATGTTTATTTTTTATAAAACAGTATCAAAATTAAACTGAACATCTTTCAAAATTTCTATATACTTTATACCTTAAAATGTCATAGTTCACTTTTTGTACCACTCAAGATAATCTAACCGTTATGTCAAAAAAAGTCTTATCCAACCTATACTATGCCGATTTTAATACCACGTTAAAAAAGACAAAACAAAATATCTCTGCAATTATAACTTAAAGTTGAATTAAAAAGTCTGCTTTTTTTTCCTGAGTTTTCTGCAAAGAGAACTCTACTGTTTTCCCTCTGAAACAGGTATACTTTTATCGGTCAATTATTCTTACTGATCAGTAGACATCTTATAAGAAAAACAAAGTCTAAAAAACTGCAAAAAGTTAAATTTTTCCGTAAACCTATCTCCAAAGGTGTTGTTGACACTGTATTTAGTCTTTGATTAAATCTGCATATCCTGAACAACAACATTCATTCATTTTTTTTTAGCATTTGAATGTTGTTTTCTTGCGAAAGCGGACCACTCGAAAACCTTATCGAAGTTTAATAATTAAATAGTTATTCTCAATGTAAGATTCTTCCTTGATTTTTCATCCAGTCAAGACAATTGGAATACGCAAAGAAAATTTGAAGCTTTTAACAAACAGAGTTGCTTTTCTCTTGATGTTTTTCATTCATTAACATTAATATAGAATACAGAATTAACTTTTGGTAAAGACCAACTTTGATTGTGCCAAATTCCCAAATTTGTGGTAGCTTTACAGAATCTCCAATATCGAAATCCTTCAATTCCACTGCATCGCCTTCCATCTGATCAAATTGAA